CAGGTAAATTTATGAACACCCGGGAGCCATAACTTCGCGGATAATCCTCGTGTTAGAGAAGACGCACGGCGCGATGTGACGAGGAAAACCGCGCGGTTAATGGAGCCTGAGAAAAGTGATCTGGTTGCGCAAGGAAGGCGCAGGGGCTTCACGCTCCGCAATTTCTGCGCGACTAATTTATGCATCGTCGCTCTTCTCGTCCAGCAGACGCAGGTCGAGACGAGTTACGTCGCGCGTCATCAACACCGCTGGAACTAAAATGCCACGATAACGCAATATAACAATTTATAAGAGGTAATTTCAGGACATGATAAATAAATAAGTAATTATCTCCTTAGGAATTATACAGCATGTCGCAGATTACATACATTGTGTACAGCTACACTATCATTCGCAATGCAAATTGCCCTAAGATGTGACCTACCGATAATTTTTTTTACTAATCAAGAAAATTGAGCCGCACTAATAAACCTGAACTTACACCGATATCCGCCTCGTAATAGAAAGAGAGCAGCATCATAAAATGGTAGTTTGCATATCGCGTTATAGTGATAATTAATTAGGAATTAATTAGAAAATTCCTACAACGAAGGAGAGGAGGTAGCAGCACACCAAACCGCTCTTAGAACTAGTGAGGTTATTATGCACAGTGAAAATGGAAGTTTGCAGTCGTTACTAACTAACGTCGTAACTACTCCAACGGGTTGCCCGGCTGTGCGATTGCCTGTGGTGTACCCTGCAGGTGGACTCGATAATGGCTTAATCTGCCCTGCGGAGGCTCTTGCTTTACCGCCGTATGCTAACGGTACTTGCAACCATCGCGATTGGAAGTTATAATCGAAAGATATCACGTTGAGATAATTAAAACATCTGCGGCCACGTAAGGCAGGCGATATAGGCGACTCTTTAATAAAATACGATTCTCGAATCAACTTTGAATCGAAATCATGTAAATCTGAAATCAATTCACTGTATAATTCGAATTATAGAAATTGGTTCGACACGAAAAATCGCACAACGACAACGTGAAGCCTCCTTTATATAAGTTATATCTCAAAATATCTAATAAATAAATAATATATTACCCATGTTAATTAGACCTTTTCTTCTTGTTTTGATCAATACTACCTGCTATCAAAATATGTGACCCTTTTTTTTCAACACCCTGTATATATATATATATATATATATATATATATATATATATATATATATATTTATTTATTTATTTTAACTACGTTCCACATTAACATTTATTGTTTAGACATTTATTATTAAAAGAACAAATAAAAAAAACATAATTTTGTTTGATAAATAATCTATGCGTGGCCTTTTTGATACGCCATTGAAAATACGACACAACGATGTAACAGCCTTAAAATGCTGTAAAAGAAAACACAGACATTTGGTATCTGTTGCAACAATGTTCGTATAAAGGTAAAAGCTTAAACTAATCACAAAATTCCTCTACCATTTTGCAAATAATTACGTAAATTTTTTAATTTTTAATTAAAAGAAGATTAGCGAACGATTGTGTTGTGCACGTATAACTAGTCATGGAATGGTATCCTTAAACTGAAGAAGTAATATTTCCTCGGTGGAAATCTCAGTTACTTGCTATTATACATAAAAATTAACCGTCATTAACCGTCATTTTTATAAAAAGTTCTATAATCTTCTGTATCGCACAAACCTAAAGCAACGATTGGATCGGATGTCGGACGCAGAGCGTGACCTCTGTACTAAACATGAAGTTGATGAATGGGCATTTATGGTATTCAACGAATAGAGAATCGATTCCTTGAAACAATCGACTTGCATCAAGATCAAATAGGAAAAAATCGACCAAAAGACATTGACTTCTATAAGAAGAAAATCTATTTTCCAACATGAAAGAGAGAATTTCAATTCGTGCAACTGAATACGAGGAGCAAACGACAAACTCGCCGACGAGAAACAATATCTCTATCACTATGAACAAAACATTCGTCTGAACATTCAGTTGTATTAAAACTCGGTTGAGGTAATTAAGGGTAATTGGATAAGTAGAAACTTTCTACGGGAGAACTTTTCTGCTTTTGCAACCGAGTTTTTCATCTGGTCAAGTAACAAAATTTTAGTTACACTAACGAACTTCTTTCCGTATGCAAGAAATATTTTGTCCCTCAAGGTCCCCGAAGCTTTGTGAGAAAGAATGTAATACGCTGCTTTACGCGGCTTCTGCTTTTGCGTTATTTTCTACACAAGAAATAAAAATTCTCCATCTATTCGTATATTCATATTTATATCCGAGTTTGCCAAGAAAGACGAAGAAGGAGAGCAAGAGAGAGAGAAAGAGAGAGAGAGAGGTGTTCAGTTCTCCAATTTAATAGCGTTGCGCGCAGTAAAAACGCTAAAGAGCCGCAATGTCTGCGAAAATAGCCTTCCAGAAAGACCCACCGTGAAATCATAATTTGATTATATAATACGACGCGCGTTGCCGCACGCCGGGGGGTTGTGTTACGGCCGAGTGCTCGCCACCAAGACCAGACATCGGTACGCGAACGTGCTAAGTATCGCGAATGATATCGGGTAGATTTTGCAGATTGAGAAGCGGCGAGCGGCGACGGCATTCTTAAAATAACGATGAACACTCGTTGCCGAGCGGGGCGTAGAAAAAAAACTTTGTTTTCTGCTCAGGTGGCGACGTCTGCGAAATCAGAATACTCACTTCCGGCTGGGAAGCCGGAGATATTTGTCACCGCGCAGGAAATAGTAAAGAGAAAAAAAAGGCGGCAAAATATAGGACTATTCTTACACACCGGATAGTCTTATTATCGTGAAAATGAGGATAAATGAGCGGGGCTGCATTTTTCCATACATTCAGGCTGAACTTTTCCTCGGTAAAATAGGACCCACGCATTCGTGGCTTTAAATTAGATGCCGAAAGTTAAGAGACCTATTACGGAGGATCCACTTCTCTCTCTCTTTCTCTCTCTCTCTCTCGGAAAATTCCAGCTCCACGAGAGAAGTTCGAGACTGGATTACCGCATAACTCGTTGTCAGATATTTCAAGCCTTCGCCAATCGATTGCCCTGATTCGAATCTTCGATGAGAAAATTCACCAAAGATCACACGTGCCGAAGAGATTTTGTACGCGAAGAGAATTTTGCTGTAAGAATTATAGGAATTTTATATAGAGGAATAGTTCGACATTCTACAGAATTATAGGAATTTTGTATAGAGAAATAGTTCGACATTCTGCAATAATTTGTTCTTTCATTCTCTTTCTTTTCTTGTGCTATTTATATTTTAGAGAAGAACCGAAGTGTGCTATTAAATATGTTGTTTTGTGCGCTATATATATATATATATATATATATATATATATATATATATATA